AGGCGCCGAGCCGAGCTCAATAGTTTGAGATCAGCCTGAGCAAGGATGAGACCCTGTCTCTACTGAAAATAGAAAAACTAGCCAGGTGTTGTAGTGGGCACCTGTAGTTCCAGCTACTTGGGAGGCTGAGGCAAGAGGATGACTTATGCCCAAGGGTTTGAGATTGGTGTGAGTTATGACACCATGGCATTCAACCCAGGGCAACAGAGTGAGACTCTGTCTCAAAAAGTAAATAAATAGGCTGGGCAAGGTGGTTCACACCTGTACTCCTAGCACTCTAGGAGACTGAAGCAGATGGATTGCCTGAGCTCACAGGTTCAAGACCAGCCTGAGCAAGAGTAAGACTCCTAAAAATAGCCAGACTCCTAAAAACAGGCCACATACACTGGGGTTGGTGGGTTTGAACCCGGCTGGGCCAGCCAAACAACAATGACAACTACAACAACAACAAAAAAATAGCCCGGCGTTGTATTGGGTGCCTGTAGTCCCAGCTACTTGGGAAGCTGAGGCAAGAGAAATACTTAAGCCCAAGAGTTTGAGGTTGCTGTGAGCAGTGATGCCATAGCACTCTATCAAGGGTGACATAGTGAGACTGTCTCAAAAAAAAAAAAGGGCATTGAGACGGGCACCTATAGCCCCAGCTACTTGGGAGCCTCAGGGCAAGAGAATTGCTTGAGCCCAAGAGTTTGAGGTTGCCGTGAGCTAGGACACCATGGCACTCTCCCAAAGGCAACAAAGTGAGACTCTGTCTCAAAATAAATAATAATTATTAATTAATTCTGGGGGCAGTGCCTGTGGCTCAGTGGGTATGGTGCCAGCCCCATATACCAAGGGTGGCAGGTTCAAACCCGGCCCCAGCCAAACTGAAACAAAAAAATAGCCAGACGTTGTGGCAGGCACCTGTAGTCCCAGCTACTTGGGAGGCTGAGGCAAGAGTATCGCCTGAGCCCAGTTGGAGGTTGCTGTGAGCTGTATGACACCATGGCACTCTACCGAGGGCGACAAAAATGAGACTGTCTCTACAAAAAAAAAAAAAAAATTAATTTTTTTTTTAAAAAAGAACTAGTTGGTTCAGCACCTGTAGCTCAAGCAGCTAAGGTGCCAGCCACATACACCAGACCTAGCAGGTTCAAATCCAGCCCAGGCCTACGAAACAACAATGACAACCACAACCAAAAAATAGCTGGGCATTGTGTCAGGTGTCTGTAGTCCCAGCTACTTGGGAGGCTGAGGCAAGAGAATCACTTAAGGGCAGCATCTGTGGCTCAAGGAATAGGGCGCTAGCCCCATATACCAGAGGTGGCAGGTTCAAACCTGGCCCTGACCAAAAACTACAAACAAAAAAAAAAAAAAGAGAGAATCACTTAGCCCAGGAGTTGGAGGTTGCTGTGAGCTGTGATGCCAGGGCACTCTACCCAGGTGGACAGCTTGAGGCTCCTGTCTCACACACACAAAAAAAAATCTGGAAGAAGAATATATGCCATGTTATATAGAATGGGTATCAGATAAATCATCTTCCAATTAAGAAAATTAATAGCCAACGACTATAATTAATAGGAATATAAACATGGAGCAAAATGCTCGAGAGTTAGAAATGTTTGTGAAAAGTAATAATTAGGGGTAGAAAAGGGTAGCACATGGAACTATTTTTTCTTATAAGCCCTGAAGTACTACTATGAAAAACTATTACTTTGATAAAAGATAAAAAGTAAATTTTTTAAGAAACAGCTTAATTTTGTATCTCAGAAATCACTGCAGGCCTTCAAAAAATAGCTTTTGGTTTTTTTCTAAATGCAGATTTAGTGCAAAAAGTCGATGTATATCTCTATTAGTCACTTGTTCTCTTTGCTATTTATAAAACATCTATTACTCTAGATAGTTTTATAATAACAACAAAGGTAGCAATAGTATTACTAATAAAAAAAAAAGAATCATCAGCAGCAACTACCATTTACATTTACAAGGTTCCAGGCAATGTATTAAGGGCGTTATGAACATTATCTCACTTAATCCTTCCTATACCATGATGAGTAAACGAGATCAGAAAAGTAACTTGCCAGGACCATATAGCAGATAAATGAGAGAGCTTAGATTCTAACTAGAGTGAACATTTGTTCCCATCTGTCAAGGACAGTTCCCATAGTACCCTCAAAGATATTCCACACAGGATAATAAATTCTACAGCTACCCTGATTCTGACTGTAGAGCTTATGTTCCTAACCATGAATCTATATTACTTCTCCCAGGAAAGAGGGAAGGTGGAATAGCACAGCTGTTGGTACAAACAGTTTCTCACTTCTGTATCACATTTCTTTTTTTTTTTTTTTTTTTTTTTTTTTTTGAGACAGAGCCTCAAGCTGTCCCCCTGGGCAGAGTGCCATGGCATTACAGCTCACAGCAACCTCCAACTCCTGGGCTCAAGCGAGTCTCCTGCCTCCGCCTCCCAAGTAGCTGGGACCACAGGCGCCCGCCACAACGCCCGGCTATTTTTTGGTTGCAGCCATTATTGTTGTTTGGCGGGTCCGGGCTGGGGATTCGAACCCGCCACCTTAGGTGTACATGGCTGATGCCTTAGCCGGTTGAGCTATAGGCACCGAGCCTGTATCACATTTCTTTATGTCAGACATAGAGTTTATATACAGAAAATTGCACCAGAAATTCAGAGTAAATTCAGTTTTACAGCCATTTAATACCTGTCCCAGCAATGCCATGAGACGAGATGGAGGCACCACACTGACTTCCCCAGCTAAGGCTTGGGCAATTGCTGCTCTTCTCTTCTCTTTGCTACTTCCATCTGGATAAGCCTGAAAAAGGAGAGGACACAGAATTATTTCCAATAAGCAACTATAAGATCTGAGCATGCTTATTTGAAACACACACACAAACAAGAAGAAATATACAAAGAAAAAAACATGAAAAGAAATTATTCAGTTAAACAGGGAAGTGATTAAACCAACTGAGTTTTTTAAATGACTTCCCAATTTTGCTCACTTGAATTTCAAATGTATGAGCTGGGAGAGAACTGAGATCAGCCAATCCACCCTGTTATTTCTGAAAAGAGTAAGTAAACCATATCAAAGCTAGAGTTGTTTTTCCAGTTTCTGAAGAATTTTCAGAGCCAAGGACTCTTTTATACTCTTCGGTAATGTCTTTTAGTCAAGTGACTTCCAGTCTAAAGCATTTACCAACTGTACCCTAAATAAATTCTTCTTCTTCCTATTTTGACAAGCCTCTAGTGAAAGTCTGGGTAGGAAAGAATGAAATTATATGCCATTGTTTCCCCCAAAATAAGACACTGTCTTATATTTATTTTTTATCAAGAAGACACACTAGGGGTTATTTTCAGGGGATGTCTTATCAAGTATAATACAACAATCTATATGTATTCAAATATAGTTAAGACATCTTCTTCTGGAACCTGACAGGGGGAGCCGACCTTGTTGGTGGGGCTGGCACTAGTGATGCGTGAATTCCTTTCCCCTAGTCGTTCACATGTATGCAATAGGATGCCTGCGACCAAGGTTACCACACGCGCACCCGAGCAAGTGCCAACGGCTCTGAGAAAGGAGCTGTGGCAGATGAAAAGTATTCCAGTCTTCCTTACTGCTCAGCACTGAAATGCATGGCATGGCTATGCAGATACGTTGCACAGCGACACCCATCACATTGGGGTAGGGCTTATATTTAACAAATGCATAGACATCCTGCTAGGGCTTATTTTTTGGGTAGGTCTTATTTTCAGGGAAACACAGCATACAATTGGGTTTTTGAAGAGTAAAAGAATATTAGTTACCATACTCTACTAGTACCCCTAATCAGCTAAGAAGCTAAAGCGTAAGATTTTAGGAACTAAAAGGGATGAAAGGAAATTGCAGTTGTCAGGGGAAAAGGACACAAATGCTCACTGAACATAATAGCAGTCAGGAAGCATTTCAGGAAAGGCTACTGTGGGAATAACATCAGAATAAAATTTTCTGCTTCTTTACTAACCAACACACAAAACTCTAAAATGGAGTATGCTGGAGAAAAAAATCCTCAAATACTCAGAAATCTGAACAAGATCATTCTCTTTAAAATATGCAAATGTCAACCAAATACATAAACAGAAGAGCATCATTCTCAAAAATTAAATCAAAATCGCAAACAGTATCCAATACAATGGTAAAAAAAAAAATCACATTTTAACATATTTTCAAAGTTTAAAAAAGTTTTCTTTTATTACCATAGCCGTACCTCACGAGGATCAAAGTAAGACCTGGCCAAGAGGTTTTCCAGATGAATATACCGCTCAGGTTGGGTTTGTTTTAACATGATCATAGGGTCAGTTTGTCTCAGAAGTGATCTGGCAGCACCCAACTCTCGCAGCTCAATCAATTCCAAAACAACCTGGACAATTGAAAGGAAACAGATGGGTTTTTTTGGTTTTTTTTTGTTGAGACAGAGTTCTACCCTTTGCCCTGAGCAGAGTGCAATGGCATCGTAGCTCACTGCAACCTCAGACTCTGGCTTGTAGGCATCCTGCTGCCTCAGCCTCTGAAGCTGCTGGGATTACAGGCGCTCGCCGCGGCGCCCAGCTGGGTTTTTCCATTTTTTTTCCACGAGTTGGGGTCTCACTCTCGCTCAGACAAGCCTCGAACTCCTGAGCTCAAGCAATCCTCCCGCCTCAGCCTCCCAAAGTGCTGGGATTACAGGCGTGAGCCACCGTGCCGGCTGGAAACAGATGTTTAAACATGTTTTCTTACTAATATTTCTTTTTCAATAAAATGTCTAACACAGACATGGCTAGCCAAAGTGATTTCCAATTGGGAAATGTCCCTTTTCCTGTTTACTGGCAATTTTAGGTAGACAACTGAAGTAATTATAAATAATAGCTTCTATCCTTCAAAAGCCATCCTTAATTTTTTTTTGAATTTATGCAAATAACTATTGTCAGAAATTAAGAATACTTACAAATGGCTTTCAAATTCCAAAGAAATCAAAGAGAGAGAACAAAATACATGTTTCAAATTCTGCTTGTAAGTACATATATTGCCTTTTTTTTTTTTTTTTTTAAGACAGAGCCTAAAGCTGTCCCCCTAGGTAGAGTGCCGTGGCATTACAGCTCACAGCAACCTCCAACTCCTGGGCTCAAGCGAGTCTCCTGCCTCAGCCTCCCAAGTAGCTGGGACTACAGGCACCCGCCACAACGCCTGGCTATTTTTTTTTTTTGGTTGCAGCCATCATTGTTGTTTGGCGGACCTGGGCTGGATTCGAACCCACCACCTTAGATGTATGTGGCTGGCGCCTTAGCCACTTGAGCCACAGGTGCCGAGCCCATACATTGCTTGAAAAGCTACAAACACCTCAAAAGACATAAAATGGTTTTCCTGACTTTTGGAAAGCAGAACACAGACTGAATCAACAATATTTCAAACAAAAATCCGTAACAAACTAGGCCAGTTCCATTTAACTGATTTCTGTTCCATTTGAAGTTAGGTTAACAATACTCATAGACATGTAAACTTTTCAATCAAAGTTCTCAAAGTCTGCTTTCACTTAATTTTTTTTTTTTTGGAAACAGAGCCTCATTCTGTTGCCCAGGGTAGAGTGCCTGGTGTCAGCCTAGCTCACAGTAACCTCAAACCCCTGGGTTCTTGCCTCAGACTCCTGAATAGCTGGGACTACAGACAACCACCACAATGCCTGACTAATTTTTCTGGTTTTAGTAAAAACAAGATCTCACTCTTGCTCAGGCTGGTCTTCAACTCCTGAGCACAAGCAATCTTCCCACCTTGACCTCCCAAAGTGCTAGGATTATAGGTGTGAGCCACTACATCTGGCCACCATCTTTAATTTTTATTTGCTAATCTCTCCTCTTCTAAGGCATCTTTTTCAGAATAGATGCTGAAAAAAAGTAAAGATAGGAATATCCCCATGGGCTCCAGAGAAACCCTTCTCCAGTAACTAAAATTTTCTTTGGAGAACTACTGAACTCATATAGATTATACAGAAACAAGTCAACATTCCTATTTTTACTTAAAAAAACACTATAATCAGGCCAGGCATGGTGGCTCACACCTGTAATCCTAGCACTCTGGGAGGCAGGGGTGGGTAGATTGCCCTGAGCTCAAAGGTTCAAGATTAGCCTGAGCAAGAGAGAGAGACCCCGAGAGACCCCATCTCTAAAAATAGCCTGGAGTTGCGGCGGGTGCCTGTAGCCTTAGCTCCTTGGAAGGCTGAGGCAATAGAATCACTGAGTCCAAGAGTTGGAGGTTGCTATGAGCTATGATGCCTCTGCACTCTACTGAGGATGACAAAGTGAGACTGTCTAAAAAAAAAAATCATCTTATTTCCAGAAAATCCACTCTGTTCTGTTTTAAAATAAATAATTTATCTGAACTTTGTCCTAGGTACCTGGCTGATAGCTCCTAAAACCCTTGGAATTCTGCCAGCAGTAGGAGTGTCTTTGAAATTCATGAACCCCTTGAATCACACCTAAGTTTGTGCTAAGGCAGTGGCTCAGCATAGAAGCTGGTTACCACAAAGATCAAGAAGGTTAAGGCTTTGAACCAGCCCAACCTCAAAGAAGGTAGAAGGTGGAAAGAAAGAGGCTGGAATTATCAATCATCCCTATATAATGAAACCCCAATAAAAACCTCAATGGAGCTTCCTGGTAGGTAAACACATTGATAAGCTAAGTACGTAACAAATCCTGATTCCACAGGGACAGCACAGAAACTCTACGTTCAGGACCCTCTCAGACCTTACCCTTGGTGTCTTTTTAATTGGCTGGCACTGATCTGTATCTTTGATAATAAAACTGTAATCAGGGCGGCACCCGTAGCTCAGTGGGTAGGATGCCAGCCACATATACTGAGGCTGGTAGGTTCGAACCCAACCCCGGCCAGCTAAAACAACAATGACAACTACAAAAACAACAAAAAATAGCTGGGCATTGTGGTGAGTGCCTACAATCCCAGCTACTTGGGAAGCTGAGTCAAGAGAATCACTTAAGCCCAAGAATTGGAGGTTGCTGTGAGCTGTGACACCATGGCACTCTACTCAGGGCAACAGCTTGAGAGACTCTGTCTCAAAAAAAAAAAAAAAAACAAACTGTAACCATAAGTACAGAGCTTTTCTATTTTATTTTATATTTAATTAAAATCACAACTGTATACATTTATGGGGTACAATGTGATGATTTGATATACAATGTGGAATGCTTAAATCAAATTGATTAACATAACCATTGCCTCATTTATTTTTGTGGTAATTTAAAATTTACTCTTAGTTATTTTGAAATATACCCTTGCATTGTGTACATCAGGTGAGATCCCACAAAATGCCTTCCCTCCTCCCACTAATCCCCCTCCCTTCTCCTCTCCCTTGCTAGACTATATTTGTTTTATCATTTGTATGAGTGTGTTTATATAGTGGTTTCATAATAGCACTGAATACATTTGATACTTTTTTTCCCATTTTCTTTCTTTCTTTTTTTTTTTTTTTGAGACAGTGTCTTACTATGTCACCTTCAGTAGAGTACTGTGGTGTCACAGCTCACAGCAACCTCAAACTCTTGGGCTTAAGAGATTCTCTTGCCTCAGCTTCCCAAGTACCTGGGACTACAGGTGTCTGCCATAATGCCCAGCTATTTTTTGGTTGTAGTTGTCACTGTTGATTTTAGCTGGCCTAGGCTCGGTTCAAACCTACCAGCCTCTGCTCGGTGCCTGTGGCTCAATCGGCTAAGGCGCCAGCCACATACACCTAAGGTGGCGGGTTCGAATCCCCAGCCCGGGCCCGCCAAACAACAATGATGGCTGCAACCAAAAAATGGCCAGGCGTTGTGGTGGGCGCCTGTAGTCCCAGCTACTTGGGAGGCTGAGGCAGGAGACTCGCTTGAGCCCAGGAGTTGGAGGTTGCTGTGAGCTGTGATGCCATTGCACTCTACCCAGGGGGATAGCTTGAGGCTCCGTCTCAAAAAAAAAACAAAACCCACCAGCCTCGGTGTATGTGGCCAGCGCCCTACACACTGAGGTACAGGCACCACCTGAGATACTTTACTCAGAAGAATGTGTTCCAACTCCATGCAGGTAAACATAAAAGACGTAAAGTCTCCATCTTTTTATGGATGAATGGTACTCCATGGTTTACATGCACCATAATTTGTTAATTCATTCACAAGTTGATAGGCATTTGGGTTGCTTCTATAACTTGACAACTACTTTTTTTTTTTAATTTCAGAATATTATGGGAGTACAAATATTTTGGTTACAGGAATTGCTTTTGTTCAGTTTGAATTAAAGGTATAAATGTGCTCATCACCCAGACAGTGTGCACTATACCCATTAGGTGTGAATTTACTATCTCCTCTTCCCTGGTCCCATCTACTTGGTTTTCTATAGAGCTTTTCTGAGTTCTGTGAATCATTCTAGCAAATTATCAAATCTGAATGGTCGTGGGAACCCCAGAATTCGTAACCAGTTGTCAGAAAGGTAAGTGGCCTGAAGCCTCCTAAATGTACAGCTGGTATCTGAAGTGAGGACAGTCTTATGCAGATCTGAGTACCAAATCTGTAGAGTCTATGCTAATTCCAGGTGATTAGTGCCAGAAGTGAATTGCAGTATAAGAGCTGGTGTCAGAATAATTTAATGCTCACTTAAGAAATAATGACAATTTGAGAAAATCGTGGATTTTCCAAGAACACAGAAGAAAAATCAGTATAAATTTTAATGGCTATTATGACCCTACATTGCTTGAAGATTGAATGCTCACTGATGCTTCCTAGTCAGGGGGCTGCCCCACAACAAACCAACCCATGGGGATCAGTATGAGACCAGTATAAGACCACCACTCTTACCTGTTCATAGAGGTCAATGAGGGTTTTGTCTGGCAATTTCAGAGACTGTATAGCCTGTAAAACCGTATCCCAATGGCCACTATTAATGTCAGCCACAAAACTCTCAATACTGTCCACAGTATTCAGAGACACAGTAGTCTCCTCCTGTAAGGTGGCTAATGCCCGATGCAAACTGTTCTCCTTCAAGTATTGCATGATAAGACGAATCACACTGAAAAAAAGAAAGATTCAGCTCAAGGAACCTCACTCATCAGATGCCAAAAATAAACCCACTCCAGCTCTTACTCAATCCTCTTCCTTTCACTAGCTACTTTCCTTTTTTTTCATGCAAGTAAAACTTTCCAGTAATCAAAGAATCTAAATTATAAGGGTTTCCCTTCCTACAGAAACAACTGGGGATCAGAGAAGGAAAATCATTTGCCTAATATCTTACAGCCAACTAGAAGGGGGAGCTGGTAGTAAGGTAACTGTCTTGATTCCTAATTCTTATGTCTACATTGTTGCACATTCTAGTGAAATATTTTAAACCTAGTCCAGTTGTTGAAACAAAATAAATCTAAATAATTGAAGAACAATTTGGTCCTTTTTTTTTTTTTGAGACAGAGCCTTAAGCTGTCCCCCTGGGCAGAGTGCCATGGCATTACAGCTCACAGCAACCTCCAACTCCTGGGCTCAAGTGAGTCTCCTGCCTCCGCCTCCCAAGTAGCTGGGACCACAGGCGCCCGCCACAACGCCCGGCTATTTTTGGTTGCAGCCATCATTGCTGTTTGGTGGGTCCGGGCTGGGGATTCGAACACGCCACCCTAGGTGTACGTGGCTGGCGCCCTAGCCGGTTGAGCCACAGGCGCCGAGCCAATTTGGTCCATTTTTAAAAACAAAATATGAACCGAGATTTTCTTTTTGTTGTTGTTGTAGTTTTCATTGTTGTTTAGCTGGTCTGGGCCAGGTTCAAACCTGCCAGCCTCGTTGTATGTGGCTGGCACCCTCCTCACTGAGCTACAGCCACTGCCTGAGATTTTCTTAATGGGGAATTATTGAACATAAGTAGAGCTGTACCATATGTAAAACCAAAACAAAGCTATACTTCCTCATTTGCAAAAATAAAATCTACCCACTGCCTTTATTACCAAAATTTTAGAACAAGTGAAATAAAAAAAAATTGTAGAGTCAGATTCCCAAGGAAAAAAAGACGATTTCCAAATATTGAAAGAATAAGCATCATTTTTATATGTGACAGAAAAATTACAAGTTTTTAATTTTTTTATAATTAAATATATAGGGCAGCGCCTGTGGCTCAGTGAGTAGGAAGCTGGCCCCATGTACCAAGGGTGGTGGGTTCAAACCCGGCCCCAGCCAAACTGCAACAAAAAATATAGCTGGGTGTTGTGGCGGGTGCCTGTAGTCCCAGCTACTCGGAAGGCTGAAGCAAGAGAATCACCTAAGCCCAGGAGTTGGAGGTTGCTGTGAACTGTGATGCCACAGCACTCTACCGAGAGCAATAAAGTGAGACTCTGTCTCTTAAAAATAAATAAATAAATACATAAATAAATAGTTACTTATAGTTAAACTTCTTGATCTCGGGCTTAATAATGAGTTGTCTGAAGAATCTGTTCAGATTGCACAGATTCAGTAGATGATATCATAATCATTGTCTTCCTTCTCTTCCTTTAAAGTATATATGTGGTTCACACTGTATTTCCATTAGACAACACTAACATAAAGGGTCAGTCTGGGCCAGCATTCTTTTTTTCTTTAGGATGCCATGCCTTTCTCTCACTCCTTTTCTCTCTCTTCTCCCCTATTTTCCTCTCTCTCACTCCTTGCTCTCTTCTCTCTCATCTCTTCTCCCTATTCTCTTGCCTCTTTTTAATATAAAATAAACTTATTCTAAAAAAAAAAAAAAAAAGAGGGTCAGTCTGTCCCTGTTTGTAAGAAACTTCAGAGTGGAATTTAGTAAATTCCTTTTTCCAGAGAAGAAATAATAATCATAGAACAATAACCAAAATTATTACTTTTACTAAATAATAAGTACTATTCTGAGCAGTTGAGGTATTTTGACTCATTTACTCCTCAAAACAACCCTATGAGGTTAAGTATTAGTTATCCCTAATTCACAGATGAGAATTTGACTAAGAAACATTACCAATAGGTAGAAAAATGAGGATTCAAACTGGCAGTGTGGCTCTTATACGTCAGTGAAGGAAAAGCAGACACACTCTTCTTAATAAAAGCTTCTATGAAGGGAAACTAATGACAAATCTCTTGTGGCTCCTTTATGGGTATCCCACTATTCCAGCACAGTACTATTCCTTAGCATGCTTCCATTAACTTCCATTTTGCACTCCCCAAAAGAGACACCCTTCCCCTCAAAGACCTCATATTTGACACAGCAAAAATCAAATTTGCTACTTTTTAACATAATGTAATATATAAAGAGCTAAAAGCTTTGGGGACAGGATAGTATCTTAATCAGAGTTCTGTCACTTACTCTGACCTTGGGCAAGTCAGTTAACATCTGTGCCTGTATCCTCACCTGTTAAGAAAAATATCTACACTGTAGGGTTAGTAAAAGAGTCAATTATACAGCTTACAGCATGTATAATTTTTATTAGCATAGAAAGTACTTAGTAATTATAGCTACTATTGATAAAAACATGCAACCCTGTTGGTACAGCTTGGGTGTTGAAGGGTGGAAAAATGATTGCTGCAACTATCACTTAGGCCTGGAAGCATGTAATCCTTTCCAATTTCTACCCTGTCTTAAATTATCTTAATCTCCAACACTCCATACTGTCCTTTGCTTTATATTTCTCCAAAACATTTACCACCATCTGTTATACATCACATTTTAAATATTGTTTTTGTCTATTGTTTGCATTCTCCATTCACAAGGTACGTTATATAAGAGCAGGGATTTCTGTCTATTTTGTATTCACTACTGTATATCCAGCATCTAGAAAGTACACAGTAGTCTTCAACACTTACTGAATGAGTAACCCTCCCTTCCTCCTATGCTAGGTGTATTTAATTATCAAGTGTTGGCAACAACGGATGTAAGACGGAATCCCGGGAAAATACACCGAACCTTCTTCAGTTACTTATTACTTCTCGCTCCGCCTCCCTCGCAAACTATTATTCTTTCCAATCCAATATCTAGATTCTCTCTCCTTTGTAACTTACAGTCAAACCAAAATTCAGCACCAGATTGGGTCTGATAAAACAGCTATTCATTCATTCCAAAAACAATAACTGAGTCTCTATGGTATGGACACCAGACTATGTATAAGAAAAAGGAGTCCCGAGGCAGCACCTGTGGCTCAAAGGAGTAGGGCGCCGGCCCCATAAGCTGGAGGTGGAGGGTTCAAACCCAGCCCCGGCCAAAAACTGCAAAAAAAAAAAAAAAAAAAACAAAGAAAGAAAAGAGAAGAAAAAGGAGTCCCTAGGCGCCTACAGAGGCGGGAGTGGGGATGGGGGCGGGGAGGAATAGCCATCATACTGAGTGTTAACCGCTAAGCAAAGCAAACCAAAAGAACCGCGTAAGCACTGAAGAGAGGCATCACAGTGTTTAATTGGGGAGAGGAGAGAAGCAAGTTTTACAGACCAGCCACCTTGTGTACAGAATCAGACCTGAGTCCAGAGTGGATCAGAAATCGCCGGAAGTCGACAAAGGGTAGAACCCATGTCTGCAAGGTCTGTTCCCAGTGCCCCTCCGAGGTTTCACGTCCAAATACCGCTACTTTCTTGTGGACCGCCCTTCCCAAGTAGCAAGAACCAAGAAGCTTCTCTGGGGAGCAAGGAAATGGCCTTCCATTCCTCTGCCTCTCAGATACCTCCGCCTAAGTGCCCTCCAACCTTCTCCCTTAACCTTCCTGCCCCTGCCACACCGGAAACATCCACCAAATGCAGGACTCACTCCGAGGACTCGATTTCGATCGACATAGTGATAGCTCCTCGGGCGCAGGCCGCGCTCCACAATCAGGACCAGTCGCACGACGAACTAACGACACCTCCGGCGCCGCCTTACGTCTCTTCCGCTCGGCTTGGCGTCCGACGTCCGCCTCAGAGGAGGTGTGTACGCAAAGAAGGGGCGTGGAGGGCGTAGAGGCGGGGTCTCCAGGGGCGCTGGGGGTGGAGTCTAGGGCCCCGCCCCGGTGAAATAACTGAGTTTAAGAAAACAAAACAGATTTTGAAGGCAAAGTACGGTTTAACCAACCTAGCTATGAAATACTTGACACCCAGTTAAGATTTGAATACCTATTGTTTGGAAAGAGCTAACTTATAGCATTTCCTGCTAAGCATTTAATTGAAAAGGGTTTTACTGCAAGGGTTTGGTTACAGGAAAAGCAATGAAATCAAATGCAAATGTGTAAAAGGAGATTTGAGACTCCTCTTACTAGACTTTAAATCACACATTATTAAGTTCGTAGTGACAAACGGAATATAGAGATGTCAGTGAATTTCATAAACAAACGCTACTTCTAAAATACTGACGTTTGGCGGCACCCATGGCTCAGCGGTGAGGGCACTGGCCACATACACTGGCGGGTTCGAACCAGGCTTGGGACAGATAAACAACAATGACGACAACAACAACAAATAGCCGGGAGTTGTGGCAGGCGCCTGTAGTCCCAGCTACTTGGGAGGCTGAGGCAAGAGAATCGCTTAAAAATACTTCTTTTCTCAAATCATCCTCTATTTTCCATCAACTCTTGAAGGGTATTGTATTCAAGGTCTCAAACATTTTAGAGTCTAATACTTTTCCCTCAGTATGTGGTAAGATATCAAGATAGATTATAGGATTTCTAATATATTCCCTTGTTATCCCATCCCATGACACAACATAGACAATTATTATAGCATTTTCCTTGAAACGAAGACCAAGTTCATTTGCAACAGTAGAATATGCCCTCATTTTCTCTACCTAATACTTGTTATTCTTTCTTCAACTAAGGTTACTTATATAGTGTATTTATACAAATAAATCTTTGTAAGTATTTAACACCAGGTTTTATTCTAGTGTAGACCCTTCCTCCACTTACTTTATGAATGAAATGGTTCTCTCCTTATGACTTCTTTACAATCAATCATTTTTATTATATATATGTAAGCATCTCATCACTTTGGGACCACACCTATGCTTCATTATGTCTTAATCAAAATGGCCAAGGAGGGCAGCACCTGTGGACCAAAGGAGTAGGGAGCTGGCCCCCTATGCCAGGGGTGGCGGGTTCAAACCCAGCCCCAGCCAAAAACTGCAAAAAAGAAAGAAAGAAAGAAAGAAAGAAAAAGAAATGACTTAGGATTTCGATATTGAAATATGCATTACTGTATTTCATAACAAATTACTTTTTTATTTTTCCTATATATTAGGCATGGTATTGATTGTTTTCATTATATTATCTATGAATTTCAGGATACTAAAGAGAATGTTCCAAAGTATTTGGAGGGCCTTAAGGGTAATAGAACTGAGGATATATTGGAGAGGTCCCTACCAGACATGTTTTCAAAATAATTAACTTCAATCTGTTAATATTTTTCTCACTCTCTTATTTTAACCTTAGAAAAATCTTTTTAGAACATAAAACTTCCTGGAATAAAGAAACATTTAATGTAAATTTAGCAATTCTTTTGGTTTCTCTTCCATTTCTTTTCATTCAGTCCATTATATGATTATATTTTATGAAAGCATAGGTCCTTACCTGCAATTCCAAAATTTAAAAATCTGTGAAAAAGATATTTTTAATTTAAAAAATCATTTATTTATTTATTTTATTAGAGACGGAGTCTTGCTGTGTTACTTAGGCTGGTCTCAAACTCCTGGCCCCATGTGAGGCTCTCATCTCAGCCTCCAAAGTAGGTGGGATTACAGGTATGAACCACCACACCTAAAATCAAAGGTATTTTATAAGTCATTTGGCAGCAAAATCTGTCCTGAGCTTAAGTGAGGGTATTTATAGTCTTTGAAACATCTTTTCGTGTGGCTATTCGTATGTAGAAATGTTTTGTTTTTTTTTTTGAGACAGAGCCTCAAGCTGTCCCCCTAGGTAGAGTGCCCTGGCATCACAGCTCACAGCAACCTCCAACTCCTGGGCTCAAGCGAGTCTCCTGCTTCAGCCTCTCAAGTACCTGAGACCACGGGTGCCTGCCACAATGCCTGGCTATTTTTTTGGTTGCAGCCATCATTGTTTGGTGGGCCAGGGCTGGATTCGAGCCTGCCACCTTAAGTGTATATGGCTGGCACCTTAGCCACTTGAGCCACAGGCGCCGAGCCATAGAAATGTTAATATACTTGATATGAAGAAATGCCTGCTAGGAAGGAAATAAGATATATATTACATATACTATATTATCTTTCCAAAATATAAATATTTCCAAATTTTAAAATATATCTGGCTTAAGGATTTTCAGAAAAGTATTGTGAGCCTGTTCTATCTAGCTAGCTAAATTCTTATTACAGAATACATAAGGGCTTTTTGGAATGATGTTCACTTCATATCATTTGGGTGATGGAATTTGAACTAATATTTTGGGCCAGACACTATGGCTCACACCTATAATCCTAACATTCTGGAAGACCAAAGCAGGTGGATGGCTTGAGCTCAGGGTTGGAGACCAGACTGAGCAAGAACAGGACCCCATCTCTATTACCAAATAAATAAATAAATAAATAATAGGCTGTGCGGGGGGGGG